ATGCTCCTCGCTCTGTACACACAGAGATCTAACAATTATTATTTTTGATAGCGACTTCCAGCAATTGCGTTATAATTTAAAGCAAGAGATGCGATACCGCAGATAACTAATTACACGTTCATGAGCCTTTGTTAGCTATTTAGAATCAGTTCTAATAAATTAGTTTCAATAAAAAGGAAAAATAAATAAATTTTGGAAGCTGTAGAGTATACGTAGCTAAGAGCTGACGCATTTCATTTCCTGAATGCTATTTTCGACTTCCACGAAATGAGATGTGGCACGCGAATCGGTTCGCCAAAGTGACGTGACGCGCGCGTTCAATGCAGCGACTTCTATTCATCTGCAGGAACGAAATTCATTGCGGTTACAATCTACGCCTTGGAGCGAATTTCATACGGATGTAGATTTATGTTAAAACAATTTAGAAAATATATTCTTAGATTTTCGATGTTGCTTTTCTCGGCAGAATTTAAATAATAAATTGAGTATATCCAAATGTGTCTCACTTCGAAAGAGATTTTTACGAAACAAACTTGACTGAAAATACAAGAATATTACGACACTTAATGTAAAAAAATAAAGCGATAATAAATATCTTAACGCTGATATAAAATAATGTTCTAATTATAATACTGATAGAAAGTTTCCTATTTTTTTTACAAATAATAATTAATTAACTAAAGACTCTCGATATTAAAATTAACTAATAACAGGGAAAAGTGGGCTTTGAGAGTCACACGCGGACAGTTGTATGAGTTAATGTAACATTTAATTAATAATTTAATACAAATTATTACATAGAGCATTAACTCACGCACAACTAACTGCGTTTGGTTCTCAAAGCTCACTTTCCCTTGTTACTCGTATTTTTTTTAAATAAGTAATCATAAAAATTGATATCGTGTCAACTCTCAGTTATTTAAAAAAGGAACAGTTTTAAATATTTACGAAACAAAATATTATAGTAGTACTCTACAAGCGGTTTTCTCAGATATATCCGTCTTTTCTATTTTCAAATTCTCATTCATCTACTGTTTGGTCAAGCAAAAGAAAGTTATGATAGAAATTTGGGCAATGATAAATTATATAACGATATTGGTTTTGAAAGCAAAAAGATACGTTAACAAAAATAGGGATGAAAATAGGAAATATATTCACAGCGTCATAATCTAGAAAAATTTATGAATAATATGAATAATAAAATATTTAATAGTTTTATCTCGGATAAAGCTCATCTCGACAGAGGAGCGGCGGAAAAGCAACCGCGATTAGAGCAAGCGGGGCGCGAGAATGGAACGCTTTTGTAATCCTTGTAAATATGACGCGCTTTACATTAATTTATGAACGAGGCGACCAGCCGAGTAACGTCGAGCCGAGGCGTCGTTACGATGATATACGCTTACTAGGGGTGTTATTTGGATTTCATTACATGCACCGACAAACGCCACTACCCGCCCCTGGCTCACCCCCGTCGCGCAAATCACGCGTCTCGACATGTACGCTGAGCAATTCGGAACGCACGAGATAATAACGCGACGCGGATAGTTTTTTCGTGAACAAGCGAAAATATATAAATTCGTCGCGCTGATTGATTTCGACGCGCCCGGAAATCTGTTAATCGGTCACACCGCGCAATTTCCGCCGCCGAGAGTGAATCCGCAATTTTTTCGACACGATAAATACTTGATGCTCGCGACGGCAGCCAATCGCGCCGATACGAAGGTAATACGGTTCGGCTCGATTCGGCCACTAGAAATTCAACCGGTTAATTGCACGAATTTTCCTTCCCCCCCCCCCCCCGGAAAAACTATGCGATCGGGATATAGAGAGGTGGGAAAAGGCACGCGCCCGATCGCACAGCGAGAGAGGACTAAAGGTCGATATTTTTTATTGTCGCTTAAATCCCCTTATCAACGGCCGACAGACAACGAGATAAAAAGGGTATAAAGCCTCGGACTTAATGATAGCTGTCTGACGGTAGATTACTTTTACTACTGCCGCTCGTTCTCACCACCGCGATTGGACGATCTTCTCGACTCCGGCGGTTTCCTCCAGACCGTCTGGCGATTCTAAAAAGCAGATGCAGCCGCGGTTCCTCCTTCCTGTCTTTCTCTTTCTTCTTCTCTCCTTTTCCTCCCTTTCTCTCTGTCTCTCTTTCTCTCTCTCTCTCTCTCTTTTCTTTCTTTCTTTCTTTCTTCCTCGTTCCTCCGCTCGCTCTCCCCACGCTCGCACTTTTTTCTTTTTATTGTGTACCTCGTCTTTCTTTCTCGCTCGTTCCCGTATCTCTCGAAGAGTTTCTTCTCGTTCTCATTCTTCCCGTATGATCGTGTCTCCCTCTATTTCTTCCTCACGCTCTCGCTCGCTCTGCGCGGACGCTATTGGAGTTTACGGTTACGGTTAAGTAGAGGGCAAAGAGATCGTATCGTTTTCCGAACGATTTGGCTAATCGAGTGCCGGTGGCTCGAGATCTCCCTTTCCGCCCGCCGATCCCTCGTCGCCGATCGTAACTACGTACATCCAAAGTGATGCTGGGAAACTCCATGACCGAGTATTTAAACCGCGATCGCGCAACCGGTACTTGGCAAAATCTGGCGACTGGTCATTTCCCTTAGAACGGCAACGCTTATGGCGGCGCAATGGCGAGTTTGCATATATATTTGGATCGGTTAACAAAGACGCAATGATAATGCTAATAATACCAGCGAAATAATACAAGTATGAAAGCAATCGGATATATATGCAAAGTTTATTCACTCGTCCACTGTCGTGATTGTCTATACGAAATAATAATTTAATTTTGTCACCAATATTCGTCGCACATTTTTATATTGGAAAATAATAAATTTATCTTCATTCATGTAAAGGATTAAAATATAAAATAATTAAAATGTATGTTTGACATTTACGATTTATTTAATCATAAAAGCATTATTGGCATGTAGGAATTTGAACTCGGATATCTGTACCTACTTATAGTAACTTTCTAAACTGACAAAATATAAATAAAAGATCCTCTACGATTTAAGACGAAAATTGGTTTTATTTCAAAAGTATTACTGTAAGAATCTCGATTATCTAAGTACGATTTTATCCTATTCATGCGAAATTGATATGACTTTGAGTTTCTCCTAAAATATGTACCTATAAAGTCAAGATCAAATTTCAATTAGATATCGCTATATTTGTGATAATAAAGTTTATCTCTGTCCGCTTGTTCAGCTTTTCATATTTCGTTTAATGGGGGAAATTGTCCTTATCGTTTCGCCGCGTATCAAATTGCCGCGCCACATTCGGCAAATGTTCGGACTCGGTCAGCGCGCAATGTCCGGTCAGGAAAAAAAAACCCGAATGAAATGGTATCCTGGATCGAAAGTTAAACCAGTTCGAGCAGACCGTGTATCTGGACTAGCGTCCTTCTTTTCCCTACAATTGTAATAATAAAGTGGACAGAGCGTGGCGATTGCTTTCGGCCCAGCGGCCAATCATCGGAAACCAATGTGGACGGTAACACGAAGAACGAGCTGTTTTATCGCAACGGTATTTTAAGGAAAGTATTCAACGACGATGGAGAGGACGACGATCAGGAGATTTGCCAAACGAGGTCTCTGTTTCAAACTCTATTTCACGTTGCAATTTACGGCCTTTCCGCGGATACGCGCGGACATGCTCTTCTAAGCGATATTAAAATGCGCCGCATTCGTGTTGATATGAGGAATGTGATTGGCAGTCTTTGTTATGTCGAACTATGCTCATATCATGGGCAAAAGATTAAAGAGCGATGCACAATCCATTTTCGTGCGCATATTGACGCGCGCGAGTAGACTCTATATGAATTTCATTCTCAACTACTACATTTGTAAAGGTGGGAAATATTTTTACGAAAAAACGCGGCTTTAATCTCAATTTTTTCTACTTTTTCTAATTTTCCCGAAAACACTCTTTTACAGATACATCCGTATATTTTCTTCATTAAGTAAAACTTAAGATTATCTTGGAAAGAAATATAGGCATTTTCACCCTTTCGATCAGACATACATCCTTTAGCACCGTCGAGGGCAAGGTTCGATCGCAATTATACGCGGTAAGATTGTTTCATAAACGCCAAATTGCACTCGAGATAAGTCCCAGGTGGGAGACTACCCGAAGTTTACGAGATGAATGCAAACGCGCAATGTGTCTACTTTATAGTGCGTTTCTCTTTTTCTCTCGACCCTGGCCGTCCAGTCTTCTTCGCTCGATACACCCTGTGGGTGGTGAACGAGACGGAAACAAAGAATGAAAAGGGGAGAAAGAGAGATACCAAGCTAAAATAAAATTCTGCTTACGCCACTGTTTCGGATATTACAGCAGATATTTCAAACGTACGGGCACAATGGATCACCGCGCTTAACTCGCACGTAGCTCATCGCATTTATAATTCAAACGTCTGAAGTGGCAATAATGGCGGGCGCGCCGTCGATACTTAATACCGCCACGCTGAAACTCAACGCAGTAATGGAGTATATTATTTTATTTTACGAGCAAGACGGCGCGTTCCCTCGATCTCGAAGATATCGATATTGCGCGGGTTCTCGACGTGCGGTCCCGATTTTAATAAATTCCGGCTTTGCCTGCGACGATACAGCGCGCCCGGGAAGCATCTTAAACTCGGTTTAATGCTGGCTGTACTATCACCCCCCTATCTTAATATCGACGATAATTTCCACGCGTAATTTAATGCTCGTTTTTTTCCTTAGAAAACGTATTCCGATAAATCGGAAATTCAATTGACAGATCGTTACAGGAATTGTATTGTATTTTGGCGACTGGCAAAATAGAATTTATTGGAAACAGAAAGCCTGAATCAGCTGTCAATTTGATAGAAAATAGAATGGGTGTACAAGAGTGCAATAAATCGTGGCGAGGCCACTGCTCTATTTTTATTGAACGTTATAGCCGCAGCCTAGAAAGTTTCGACGGTTCGCCCCCACTGTCCTGACAGTCATTTCCTTTTCTTTCAGGAAGGTATCGGCTCCCTAAAAGTGGTGCCTGGGGGAATCGAGCTAAGAGGTCAAGCTGCCGTGTTAGACGCCCTCGTGGCCTCCAGCCTGAGATCTCGGAGGGGCAAAAACTTAGTGCTGGAATCATGGAGTAATTTTACGGCCTCGGCGAGATCTCACGATGGTCGGCTTCTCGCGCGATTAACAGTTGGTAAGTTATATTAATGGTCGCATACAGCAGCCTGCATTTTTCATATAGCCCGATGTCGAGAGGTAATTTTAATTTCCCAAGGAGAGAAATAAAATTATGCAAACGGCCTAATTTAAAACCATACACGCGTACAACGAAAATCTATTTTCATGAAAAATATTCTAAATTGAATTACATGTATATAATAATATAAAATTTGTTGTGTTATATAATTACTAATATATTTCAGATTTAAAATCATTGAGAATATCCGATTAAATTTTGCTTTCAGGGGAGGATCGCGTCGACTGTGTGTCCAGAGGTTTCCGAATAACCGATCCACGAGGAGGAGTGCTCTTTTCCGCGGACAAGGAACAGGTTATCGTGGGAGCGGAAATGTTAAGGGTGACCGGCGACGGTGGTGCCGTTTTTCAAGGGAGCGTGCAGACTCCGCTGGTCAGAGGCGAATCGGGACGTGGTCTTAAGTAAATATATTACAAATATTTTAACCGCGTATTACGCATACAGGGATATTTAATTTTGTGCAATCGAGAAAGAGTCGTGAGATAGATTTCCCCATACGAACTATCCAATTATCCTGATATTGTTATCTACAAATAGACGATTTCTCGATATTGTTTCCAAATATCATGCATTATTTGCCTTCATTAATGATGTTCGTATCAACAATTTCATTGAAATTCAATATAAACGCCCGTACACATAATTATATCATGCAGCAAGTAGTAATTACACGAATATACAGTCAGATGAATCGAATCGTGTAGCAACCGTATTATCGTTCAAATCGAGCAGTTGCAAAAATAATTTGTTAAACTCGGATATGATCATCAATCAGTCATCAGTTTTTTTGGCAAATTCCGCGAGATACGTGAAGTTTATAGGTCGAGGATAAAAGCGCATTTATATTTAGGAAGTAGTCCATCTCGGCAGACAAACTAATAATAAAGACGCCGAGTAAATGGGATCAATCAATCGTCCTCGATCGTATACAACCGAATAATATTGCGTTGCAACGGTGTTTCGTTTCTTCGCGAACAAGTCATTTCGGAAACGTCAACTCCCTCCCAGCCGCACCTTCAATCATCACACTTTCGGCCCGAATAAGTTCATACAATCCCTTAACCCTTCTGCCCCCCCCTCCCGTCTTCATCCTCATCTCTCACCGAGCACCTCGGTCTATTACGACGAGAAATCGTAGTCCGCGAATGGGGTTGGAAAGATAGCAAAGAGGGGGACAAAACGGAGTTGTACCGCCGCCGCACCGCGGTTATTGATAGCGCCGGGCAATTTACAGACGGATTTACGATTACAATAAAACTTTGCTCGCGCGGAAAATTATATTCATAGGATTGGATTTGCGCCAGATATGAAATACCGCGGATCCTACGAGTTCACCAAGAGGTAGGATGAACAGAGACAGAAATCGAACCGCGGTAAGGTGACTGTGTATGTGTTATGTGTGTGTGTGTGTGTGTGTGTGTGTGTGTGTGTGTGTGTGTGTGTGTGCGGGGGAGGAGGAGGGGGATAAGGTGGCGGAGTAGAGCGGTAAAAGAGCAGCTTCGCGGAGAACCGGGAGGAGACGAACGAGCGCGTGGACCATCTCCTCCGCACGGAGAATCGATTATTGCTCGAGTTCGACTAGTTCGACTTCGGGGCCGCGAGAGTCAATACAGATATTACTCTGTTGCCGGAATACTTGGATATAATACGACGGTTTACGGGCATACGGAGATTTACGGTGTAATCCACGTCATTGTTGGAACGTAATGCACTGAAATTGAGGTACACGAGTCCGACGCCATCGCTCATCGGACAATGATTGTATAGCTATCTATAGCATCCGTGTTTTATTTTAAATTTCAGAGTTAAAAAAAAGTGTCGCATGATTTGTACAACTTTGCACACTTTTCATTAAAAAAATTAATAAGAAACTAACGAGATAATTACGACATGAGAATTTATATACATGTCAAAAATATTTTCTATATATTCTTGATATATACCATTATTACATATATTATCCCAAGACATTATCATATAATTATCCTTTTATATAATACGTTACAATTATTAAAAGATTCAAAATTAAAATTAATTTAAATTACATTTTATTATTAAAATATTCTAATATCACTGTGATATGTACTCAGATAAATTCTGATAAAATCTGTACAAAAATTTCTTCTATTTCACGGCGAAATATTTATCGAATTTTATGTCATTTTTCTTTCAAATAATATAGAATTAAATTATCAATAAATGGATGGGTTATAAAATATTAAAATAAAATTAAGACATTGTAAGAATAAATATAAATGATAACCACCGCATTTTTTAACATATTTTTTCTTTTATGTCCTTTTTTTATAATGTATAGTAAAAAAATATCTCTGAATATGACTTTCTTATACTTATGTATGCATATAATATTTAATCCTGGATAAGGATAATATAAGCCTTAAATACTATTAAACATATATTTAGAAATAGAAAAAAATTAAATATATGTGTCAAATCTCTCTCTTAATTAAACAATACTTACATTTTTCTGTATATATGCACATAAATATCTTTTTCCGAACTTTATCATCTATCATGCGTCCTTAATAACGTACGAACACTATGAAGGAAAGATAACTAAATGTGAAAATTTTATATCTCTTCAAAATTCACCAATATTTATTATAACTTTTATAGCTTTAAAATTTATCAATATTTGTTATAATTATTATATAGCTTTATTTAATCCCTTTCTGCTTTCCTTTCTCTCATTATTTATTTAAACAATTAATTAAATAATTTAAATATATAATGCATTTAAAGTAATCTTAAGAATATTATTATAATATATTTAATTTTTATGGTATTCTCAATTCTTGAAAATCCTATTTGTTATAAAATACTCTGCGAAATGTATAAGAATGATAATGCTTTTACTAGATTTTTTGATAATAATTTTTTCTTTAAAAAAGAAAAAGTCAATCATCGCTTAATTTTTACCGAGCTTTCTTTATTTGCGAAATATTTCCTATTACTGCTTTTATTCATACTTGCAAGTTTCACAAATTTTAAACGATTGATGGATCTCTCGCAATATATATATATTTTTAAATAAAACATTATAACGTATGTCAATAAATGAATACGTCCTATATTGATATAAACTCCGTAATATAACGAAATAACATATAGTAGCTCTATTTCGTAACGTGCTCTGTATCTGTACAAATGCATCTTCATATTTAAAGTAAATTGATAATAATAAATATCCAGGATTCAATATTGATTTTAATCTTTTTAAACCCATCCATTTTAAAACAACGGATCTATGAAAAGTAAATTTAATAAATATATAAATCTAAATGCATTATATGTAATGTATATTATACCTATATATCTTATATCTCGTACAATTTTCACAGATTCGTTATCTTGATGTGAAATAAAAGAATTTACTTACAGGCACGATGCGCAACAGCGGAGTTATAACTGCATCGTAGCTACGCTGATCTGTAAAATAAAAAAATATCCAAGTTATTGCAAGTGTTCAAAATAATTGTTATTTTAACAAAGAGATTATTATTATACGCATTAAATTTGTATGTTTATTTATTTCTGAATAGATCTTTATTAAAGTAATTATGTAATTTACATATAAAAAGTTATTTTTAATTATAAATTAAAAAATTTATGTCTTATATAAATATAAGAATCGGATTAATTTTGGTATTTAAAACATTCAATAAAATATGATATTCAAGATATTTCAATGAAAATGAATGATTAATTCCATGCAAGAGAGTATCAAATGTTAAATAAAATAAAATATTACTCACCCCACAGGTGCTCCGCCGTTGCCCGATGCCTTCCCGGGCCTCCTCCTCCTCTCAGAATCCTTTGAATCCCATCCTCTAATTGTCGAGTGCCTCTTCAGATTTTCACTTACGAAATACTCACTCGCGAGCACACAGTTAAATTATACGATCGCGTTCGAATTAATTACCAGCGTACTACGATCGCGATACTTTGCACAGCACTCCTGAAATTAAAATGTGATTAATTAAGATGCGATAAACGTGATTTGTCGCGACTTATTGACTTTTTGCAAATTCATTAGAAATACGTCAGCTCAAACGAGGTCAAATATCAATAGGCTTTAAAAATCTCCGTTAAATTTAAAAAATCTCGTTCTTCCCTTTCGCACACTCGCGCTTTTTCAACCCGATGCTCGCACAGTATCGGCTCGCGGAAGTAAGGTTAATGGTCGCGCGGCGCTTCGCACGGCACTACGGCACCGACGTTCGTCACGCACGCTTTTACGTCGCGACGGAAAAGCAACGCAGACAGATTACCGTACGTAGAAATTACCTCGTTATCGTCCACGTCTTCACACAGTCCACACGTACTCGAGATGTCTCGTGAATTCGCACGGTACGCAGTCGGCGGCGTCAGTCGGCGGCGTTGGGAATCCGCAATGACGCTGGCAATGACGGAGAGACGGGGGGTGCGTTTGAAAATTGCGCGGCCAACTTCACGTGGTAGCCGCCGCGCCGCGCCGCGGCGACGCTACACCTGTTGCTCCCGGCTTCAATTCAGAAAATTGCCGTGACGGATAAATGATACGCACACGCACTTCAGAGCGACGACTAATGTCACGACGAAAGGGACACGCGAAATACGAGTCGAGAATAAATCGCGCTGCGCGAGATTCGGAAATACGATCGTCGCTTCGCCGCGAAGGATATCTCGCCCCGGGCGAACGAACCTAGCGTTCGAGCATACCTCGCGCGATGCGCGATCTCGGAGATCACTGGCACGCCGCGAGTTCGTGCCGCGCAAGATAACGAATCTGAGAGAACACGCGGGTCTATTCGTTGGTCTACGTGCGTCTCTAATTACGGACCGCGTACTCACCGAGTGAACGCGTCGCGACGTTCACGCAGCTCGGGAGCGATCCGTTACACGCCCACGTCGTTTCACCGCCGGCCGGACAAGGAGGAGGGGGGGGCGAGCGGCACTTCACTTCCGATATCGCGCGATCGATACTACGCGAGTCAAGTTCACACCTAATCAAAACGCGACGAACCGTCTAAAAATACAAAATCGGCGCGCAGCGCTGCAAATACGCGCGATACATTTCGCACTCGTAAATCCCGTCGAATATATGCGATATTAATGGACAGTCAATATATCACTGGCTCTTCCCACTGCTTTAAATCGCGTTATCCGGCAATTCGATAAATCTGAATTCACGCACGCACCACATTGGCACCATATCGCGATTTCGATCCGAAAATCACAGCGAAACGTAGCGGAGCTCGATGCTGGATTCGTCCTGTATTCTCACTTGATCGTTAACGAGGATAACCGTCGGCCGAAACGTCGCCACGAGACGATAATTTGCACTTTTCAACCGCCGCCGTCGTTTCGATGCTCCTACTTCGGATGAACGAGTCGAGCGCGCGATCGCATACCTGCGTATATTCATTTTCCACTTAAATCTTGAAATCCTTGAACGGCGATACCAAAAATTACTATGGAATATGGAGTCGTGGCTCTTCGACAACACGAGTGACGGGGATGGAGTGGGATGGAGCGGAGGTAGTAATTAAGCACGTCGCACGGCGCAGCGTGCCTAGGTCACAGGTCATAGTATATATGTATGTGCCTAGGCCTAGGCAGCCTACCTGAGCCTACCCCCACTCTATTCCCGCCGCTTGTGACGCTCGTGTTGACGAACGGGCCCGCGCGCCCCACGCCCCGCGCCCCACGATCTCTTCTATCACTATCCAGTCAGTAAACTGCTGGCGCTTCGAGCTTCGACACGTTCGCGAGTTGCAAATCGTTGCGTTATTTGGCCGTATTGTCCTCTGTAAAGAGACAGAAGCCAGTAACCAAAGAGGAAGGAAGGCAAATCGCTATCATTGATCAATACGCGTTCATAGAAGAATCTTGTCGCATATAACGTGACACACGGAGCGACTCCGCGTGTGTGTCGTTCAGCAGACCAAGCCGCTCAGTAGCAGACGAACGTGATTGCCTCTTACTTTTATAACCAACCAATCAACGCAGAGTGTTGATAAGACGAACAGTTGTGTCTGCTGAACACGGCCATTGTCTTCCCGCTCGAATCTCACCGCGCGAAAGACAACGTACTGACTTTATAATTTTTACATACACAAACAGCGTGTCGTATATACATAATAATGCCGCGAAATACTTATCGCGCCGTATGATAAATATATATACACAAAATATTCAGCGACTCGTTTTTCAAATTTCTTTCGACGAACGGGCTATTGTCGCATTTTATATTTTGCCTTGTAGATTCTTTAGCGTCCCTTAAGATAGTAATGATAGCAATGAATGACTGAGAGCGTTTTGGAAACCTAACGGTGTACTATTTTATTTGTCGCGCGATACCTAAATTTTTGAAGCGTGTTGATTTGTTGCAGGATAGAAAAGTTCTCGAGTCTCTCTAAGAAATTTTTTATTTTGTAACCGATCAATACGCTAAAAAAATATGTCATATGACATATGAAATATTACCATAATACTGAAAATTTAGATACTGTTATTTCCCACACAGCACAGGATATTTTGAGGGACATTTGTGCATCCGCTGGATATTAAATATCTACTGGATATCCACCGGTTATTGAGATATCCCACTTTATCTGTAGGACGTCCCTCAGATAAAGTGTGCTGTGTGGGATTGAATATCGTGTACTTTGATTTTGTATGAAAGACACTTATTGTCTCACTTGTCAAATATAAGTAGTATATGTATTTAAATCTCGGCATTTAAATATTTAAAGCGCGCCATATTTCAACTCAATTATTAAAGAAATGATCATCGCCGTAATAATCGGAATAACAATCATTTATATTTTCCATCCTTTAATACTTTGATTCTCGTATTGAACATGTAATAATTAAATCGTGCAAAATATTCTTTGATAAATTGCTGCGAATCTTTTTTGATAAATAACATCATCCCTCCGATGTATTCATCAAGTCGTAAATCACGCAAGTCAATTAATCACGCGCACTGATAATTGCTGATAATTCGTGGGGAATAATCGTGTTTCGAAGGGCGACACACGATCGACTATACAGTTCGCTGCTTTGGAAGTCTAATAATGATATTGTTACTTGAATCCTATACTCGACGAATGTGCCGTGCAGTTTATTAATTAATATCATTCAGTTTACATATTATAAGAGACGCGATAACGTGTACCTATATAAAGTTTTTTTTATTTCTCGCGCTTCACGACAAATTCTTTAATCATTATTTGGCGAAAACATCGAATAAGGAAATCGTCATTTATCGCTTAACTATCCAATCTTTAACATATCGTATATCTCTGTAATTAAGTTGCAAATTGAAATTCTGTTAAAGTAAATTCCATCTGAGAAATTAATTGAAGAGCTAACTTCTTGAAACTTAAAGAAGGAAAATGTTTGCGGAAAGGCCTCCTGCTTCAATCTGCTTGTACCTCGAAAATTGCTAGAGCCTCGACAATTTCGCTAAGGAAAAATCGTCTTCGGGTGGATTAAAGAATTTCTCGTTAAAATATAAGGCGCGAGAGAAGTAGAATATTTTACATGTAGCGCATATACGAATCTATTTAAAAAGTACCCGGATTTTGTCTTTATAATTTTTGAGGGTTTACTTATAACTTATTCAGCCCTATATCCTTCGAAATATGTTCCTTTTCGGTTGATACATTACTCTCAACGCTGTTTCCATTTCTGAGCAGTTCTAGTACGCTTTCTTCGTGATCGCGCGTAAGTCCGTTTGCGAATTTTTCTTGATATTTTTAATTGTGTCGAATATTCGGTCTTTTAACGTAAATTTGAACTTAAAAAAAAAGGAAAAAATTCGCAAGGATCCAAAAGTAAACCTCCAAAAATGATAAAGACAAAGGTGGGGAACTTTTTGAACACAAATCTCATATATTTAAATCAAATTGTACTGTGCAGGCTCGAATCGGCGACGAGGTCCTTGAAGATAAACGCTCCTCAGCGGGTGGTGATCGAGTCCTGGGCGAGCGAGATTTCAGCCTCCTGCCTGACGGATTTAAAACTACAGAGCGTTCACGGAGCCATCCGGCTTGACGCCAAGTCCGTCTACATAAAGGGCTTGAAAACGGCGATTCCGCTGCAAGGGCACTCGTCCAGGGAGCAACAGCAGCAGCAGCAGCAGCAGCAGCAACAGCACTCCGGCAGATCTTCGTCCGCTCATCAGAGCCAGAAGGAGACCACCATCTATCAGCTGTGTGCGTGCGCGAGCGGCAAACTCTTCCTCGCCAGGTCGGATGGCAGTTGTCAGGCCGACAAGTCGATTTGCTAATACAATTACGTGGTGGTGTATTGCGAAATCACAGACGATTCATTAGGAATCATTGCGAACTACGTGACTCAGTGATGTGTTAGCGAGAAAAAAAAGAGAACGAGAGAGAAAGAGAGCGGAAAATGCACTGCGATCGGCCATCAGCGCGATCGGGGACGAGGCCTTCATTGGAACACTGCAAATGATATCAAACGAATCTGTCGCGCCAAACGGGCGAAAGAAAACCCCCGAAGTGCAACGTGTCAGCGGAGAAAGAGTTAGAGAGAGAGAAAGAGAGAGAAAGAGAGAACTTGGTAAACGCCGAGTATGATATAGTTGAAGCTAATTAATTATTCCCAGCACGCGCTATTTTTCGATGAACGCGGCGTATGCACGATACGCCTTCAAGTGCCGGGCGCCCTTCGAGAATCTCTGGTTTACTTAGGGCCTAATCTGACGACCTGACGAGCGGCGTCGCGACCCCCTCCCCCAAAGTGCATACGTGTCAATTAAATGGAATTGCATCGAGCGCTTTTCCTTTTTTTCCCCTCCTTTTCTTTCCTCCCCGTATTTTACAGTTCAACGTCAGTCACGTTTAATTGAGTCGTCGTGTAAGGGCACAATCGGGCGTTGTTGCGGCTTCAATCCCGCGCTTAAGGCACACGTCAATCTTCCATAGTCACGGTGTTTCACGGGCACGACCCAATCTTCGTTCCGTGAAATATTCGACCGATCCGGCGCGACGCACGGCGAGACGCGCGAATAAACGCGTCGGACGTTTTCCCTCGAAGCAGGGAACGCACCCGTCGCGCGGACACAAAGGGAATTCTCGCGAGGCCTTGACCGGAAAGATTCTCTCGAATTCGCGGGTATTCGAAGAATTCTCTCTGAGGACTCTGAGGAATATTCTTCTGAGCGGCATTCACCAAGGGGGGGCTTCCCTTTAACTTTTTCTCGCGCCAGCGCCGTCGGTCAATGCGATACGCGAAAAGGAAAGCGCGAGATTCTCGCCCGAAAGCCGCCGTCTTGCATTGTAAAAGAAGACTTCTCGCGACGCGACATTTCCTCCGTCGTTTCGCGGTGCGCTCGCTCGCTCGGCGTCCTGGATTCGGCTCCAACTTGTATATTTCCTCCCCCGGCGGGGCGACATTTGTCAGGGGAGAGCCTTCGAGATATCTATCGGGGATCCGGAAGAAATCAGATCCCCGTGATATCGCGGATAGAACATGTATAACTATGTGTACGTATAGCCGAACGTTAACGCGAGATGCTCGGACTGAATTCTCGTCTCACGTCGTCGTTAAAAGTGCGCGACCGCGAGGTCCTTAAAAGTTCAGCGCAATCTTTAAAAAAAAAAGATATGAAATTAGGTGGCTGCGTGCTCTCTGGATGCGATGCTGAAGACGACAGATGAAGATGGGAATTCGGATTCCGCTTTGTATCGCTGGGGCGAGACGCGCTTATCGCCGTTAGACAGTGCCCGATAAAATCGAATCGACGAACTCCCCCACGAGATCATCCCTCTTTCGTTCCCGTCCCTTCGTATAGCACTTCCGTCATCTCCTTGCGCGTTCGATACTTTGTATTCTGTGTACCGGTTGTACGCCTCGCGCGGCGAAACCACTTGTAGGCAAATTGTTCGTAGCTCTCCCTGCTCTCCACAAGCCCGCGCTCTCGCACGGTGCTGATGGCGCGAGGGGCATGCACCCTTTCAGGGAGACTATTCCTCGCGAATCGCTTGTTTCTAACGCGGTGTCATGTTTAACCCGTGCTCCGATACAAAGTAGAAGCGTTGTTGTAAGTAGAGCGACGACTGCATCGGGCTGCGCGTGCCGCCGGAAAAGGCGAGAGAAAGTTAGAGAGAAAGAGAGTATATATGTGCGTGCGTGTGTGTGTGTGTGTGTGTGTGTGTGTGTGTATATGTACATGAGAGACTGTGAACGGTAGTTTGACGCAACAGGATCGGATCGCGATCCAGCTTGTACGCTGTACATCGGCCATGTCCATTTATTTATGTATGTGGCAATAAAGTCGTTATTGTTACTATTATTATTAATTGTCGTAGTCTATATTATTGAACGTTGTCAATATTATTATTATTACGTAATTTTATTTAATTACGACATTATCGTGCCGTAGAAATCCCATAGATCCATCCTCTTACGACCGTTGGATATATTATTCGTCCAAATTTTTCGTTATTGGTCCATTAGCCTTACCATTCTTCCAGCTGGATGCGCTGCCTTCCCTCTAAGGGTGTAGCTTTCAACGTTACAGGTAGGTTTGTTATTTCCGTAACATAAAACACCCACAAATAACCAAATGATATATGCATACACATCCGTATTCAATAGGTAGACCGCGTTCTACAGTTTCCACCAATTATAACTCATGTAACTAACAACTGCCGCAAGGGCTTTGTTTCGTTCGACAATAGCGAAAACTTTCGTAACAAAATTACAATTAAAAATTTAAAATCGACTTCAATTCAGAAATACAAACGACCCGTCCGATCACGCTTGTTTGTTTGTGAAAACACGCGGGCGTTGAAATTTTCAGAGCCGCGGCTGTAAAATTCAGCTATCTCCCCCTCGCGCTATTAAAACGCGGTCGTGCAACGGCTCGGCAGCGGCAGCAACGGCGGTGTGAAAGGAAAATAGAAATTTAAATTAGAGAATAATCTCAAGACTAGTTCGAACAGCCCGCTGCATAATATACTATATGTCAAGCGGGCTGACAGGTAACAGAGGCAATCTCATCTAGTACCCTCTTAAACAGCTCTGACGGCAAGGTAATTTTCTTGGAATTCGGGATTAAAATTGCATCCAGCGGCGACGGGGAGGTGGATAAAGTGCATAGCCAAGTAGAGAGAGAGAGAGGTATTCCGGCAAGGGTTCGAGGGTTGAAGCGATTTAACATAGGAACGCCGCGGGCCAATGAGCTGGTGTAAATTAGCAGCGACAGTCGGGAAAAAATACCTTTGATATACCGCGTTGGTTCCCTTAAGACGCGCGAAGTGCAAGGAAGAAGTAAAGTAAAAGTGGATTGAACGCGATGGATCAATTGAAGAAAACGCAATTGTTTTTGTAAAATTATAATGCAACTGTGGACGTGCTAACTTTTCGTGCTACGTTATTATTGAATTATTTCACGTTTTTTCGAATTGATAGAAGTTTCTACAGCAAAATTGATAAATTAATTAATTGTGCATAAAAATTAATTTTAAATAAAACATATATTGATTACGTATATGTCAATAAATAAATCGAAAATTTATGGCGACTTGAGGAGAGTGTACTATAGACTACTTCTCGGGAGAGAGAAATATATATAATCATTCATGGATATCCAAGTATATCCACCGTACCGTCCAGACGAGAGTTCTTGTTCATTCATTATACAGAAGGTACCTGGGCGAAGTACTTATCTAAGTGACTGCTACCGCCGGTACTCGTAGCGTGTATACGTACTCGAGGAGCTTGAACGCGTATACGATGTGCGATGCAGGTACACGCCAACCACGCGGGAACGATGGTGTTAGTGGCGGTGATCCTAAATGCAGGATGGTTTCTGTGAACCGTGAAATTGTTGTGCGGGGCACGAGGCGCGTCCGATAAAGCTTTAAATACGAATTAGTATAGCACACGCGGCGCGGGCGTGCAGACCGACCACCAGCGCGCATATACATACATAAACGCGATCGCATATCTCTCGTCGGATGCAAAACAACCTGCGGCATTTTGGTGATGTCGAACAACGCGACTCGTAATATTCGCATCGCGAACGATATTTTTCTCTCGGAGCATGTCGTCTCGAAGACTCGACTTACGCTTTCGAAACGACTGGCATTGTCGCAAACTTATCAATATGTTGGCGGAATGTCGCGGTAAGATGTGTCTTCGTATTATGTACAGATAGTTCCGAGAAGATATTATACACGCACGCGTGGAGATCGACGGATCGCGATCCATCATGCAATTTCCTCTGTGCTGAGTCTGGGCTTATTATGTCGCGTCTCCGTAGCGCAGATCCGTGTCGGGTCAAACGTAATAAACTCGCGAGCGCGCAATTCCGAAGTGGAGGTATGTACATAACGTCGGCGGCCGTAAATCTAATGATTTACACCGGCGGGAGGAAGACAAACGAATGGATCCACCTCGGCGCGAGTACGGACTTACGGCGCGACTTGAAGTAAACATTCATGAATCTTCGCGGGAATAACTCCGATGGCGTCCGCTTCGACAAGTCCAATCTCCGTGAGCGCGCCGTTAATCCCCTTGCAAGTCGCTCGATCGAGCCTCGCGCAAATTATGTTTTTCTCCGCCAATTACGTTTGCCTTTCGCCTTTCATCTTTAAATCCGCCCTTCATCCCGTTACGTCCGTGTCCATTTTTACGTTGCCTTTGAGCGAACGGCCATTAAAAGAATTGATTGCAAATAATTCAATTCGCAGCAAGAGTTTATTATTGACAATTTTAAAAATATGAATGCGCAAGTGATAATAGTTGGTTGACACATTAACGATACAGATATATTCTACGCTATGCTTTTCACCAATTTAAACGTAGTTAGTTCATTCTATCTCTCAATTGAGAACACGAAATGGCAAATAGTTGAATTAATGAATAATGTATTCACCAATTATTAATAATATTTCGCGTATTTCTTCTTTAGTGTACGTTAGGAGGCAAGCAAAATCTCGTGCGATTGTCGAATATACTGAGTATGCAATGTATGCATGTAACCATAATTAATTGATAATAAAAGTCTTATTTTAATAATTTATTAAAATCATAAGAATAATTCTTTTGAGATAAAAAAATTATACATAACATAATAATAATAATTTAATTCGAAGATATGGTAATTGAGAGATGAAAATCAATTTTCAAAACAAAATTGATTTTTGTATTTAATTGACGATCTTTCGCCAAGTAGTCATTCGAGATAAGTTATCTTGCAATTATTGAGAGCGTTGGAATCTTAGCTATCAAACGATCTTAAAATTACCTTGCTATTATTTTTCTATGTAAAGATATTAGCAATTACCACCATTTCGATTAAAATGTCTCTAAAGATGGAACTCTCGGAACAAAGTCAATTTTATTTTCGGAATCAATGATATCTCGTAAATTAATGATCCGAGATAAGCAACTTTTATCTCGTTAGAAGCACTGGAATCTTAGGGCTTTCCAATGAGCCCAAATTAATCTTGTTATTATTTTTCTGTGCAAAGATATTAATGATTATATCGATCTCGTGAGGACAGAATATATACTAATCAGAATCCGACTGTGCGCACGTGCATTTTGCGGCGGCGATGCTTATCTTCAAAGTTGCACGTGTACTACATATGTTTCCGCATCAGATTTTTTAGGAAGGGATTAGCACATGTCAAGTCACATGCGAAAAAATTCGCACGGTCTTCTTTCATGAATGGTGCGCGCGCGCCGGACTTTTAAAACGCTATAACTCGACAGAAAATCGATGTAACGGCATGTGACAAAAACGGATCTCCTGTGTTTCGCGTCCCACAGATGCCTATGTCGAACACGTGAGACTTGCATATGTGTGCAATGGAATAAAAAATATTAGTTATCAGTTATCACCTCTCGCGCAATTAACTAGCTCTTATACGATTAATGATTTGTACGCGTATCGAGGCGATAAATGCTCGTTCAAGCAGAGCATATTTCATTTGTATATCTATTCATTCGTAAAAATCGAAGCGACACGCGACGGAAATGTCGAGTTTCAATTACATTGCATATTTTTACACGGTTTTTTAAATTTTAATCAATCGTTAATTCACAATAGAAGTAGTAAAGTCTCGCGTACGTCGGATTTGTCGTGTCGCGCGATTGTAATTAACTGCGTTTTCGCGAGTGAGTGTTTGTGTAAGTGCGACAAAAGAATCTCAAAGGAATAGAAGGCGACCTGGAAAGCAACAACGACGAAGAGCATTAATGACGTGAGTATTTTATTATTTATTATTTTATTGCTTAAAGTCTGTAAAGATACACTACATGCGTTTTTTTATTGATGCGCAAAAATTCGGTAGCAGAAGAATCGATCTTTTCACTGTTCTTCTCGCAATTTCGCATAAACTCGTTCGCCGAAAGATAACAAATTTCCCGTTAATTGCGACTTCATCAGCAACAACGTGGAGATTGAACACATTTTAAAGTGAATTTTTATTTTTAAAGACACGCGGGGAAGAAAATAATCCATTTGGCAATTTTGATCAGAAAAAACTTTCCAGAAGCATAAATGTTTCGCGGCCTGTAAGATTATAAAAGCTTCACTTACGCTCATGAAATTTATACACACTAATTTCCATTTACATGTTAATTTTTATTTTTGCGTAATCGTCTTTAGGAAAATTTAATGCAAATTTAATAATCACAAACCTTGTGAAGTAAAAATCGTATCATGACAATCTTTCTTCCATACGCAAGCTATGGCTGTCACAAGATATTTCTTCCAAGTAAATTGCAACGCTATGCTAACATGACATGATTCTATTACTATGTTATTACGTATATTAGGTATATTATTAAGAGGAAACCATTATTTCCTATTATTTATCACATAGCGTTATTAATATCTTGACATAGTCAATAAATAAGGACTAGCACCCAGTTAATATTCGAGACCGACGCCGCGACGACGCCGGAACGTCTGACGAGCCGTTTGCACCCACGTCTCGCCGTGTGTGGAGGAGGTGTGTAGAAAGTGGCAGGGAGGCGTACACACGGCGGGGGGGCTAGACGAGGGATGCCGTAATGGCGGCTAAATTCCTGCAACGGCCGGATGCAATTTAATGCCAGTCGTCGTGGCACTATCATCGCCTCGCTGATGCAATATCTTTCGAGTTTCCGGCGTCTAGTTAGTGCGGAACGAGCTGTTGATAAATCTCTCCCACCAACATGCCGTTCCTCCCTTCTACCTACTTACACCCCCTTCATCCGCCAACTATCCGTCCTCGCCCCCGCCGCGCGCGCGGTATGTGGAGGCCATTTCTCCGGGG